GATTTTGTCTATTTTTTCCTTGATTTCATCTGTGTGTTTTTTTTTTTTTTTTTAAAATCTTTTTCCTAGTCTCTTGGAGAGCCCTAAATATTGACCTTTTGGATTTCGTATAAGGTAGTTCCACTGCATTTTCTTCTGCCAGGAGGTTATCTTTATTTTGGTCACTTGCTGGAGCCATCTTGTGCTGCTTTTATATGTTTTGATATTGTCTGCTCTCTTTGAGACATTAAGGTATTGTTTTCTTTATTTATTGATGTTCATTTGTTTTGTCATGCGTTTTTGTTTTGTTTTGATGTGTCAGGGTGCATAGGCCAGGCGTGCTTTGCTGCTTGCTCATATGTGGGCACGCTAGCTCTCACCACCTTGTCCAGGTGGGCAGGGCAGCAGCAGCAGGGCAAGCCCACTTAGCTGTACACTGGTTTGGCGAGGTGGCTGAGGGTGGACTATGTGGGTGCTGTCTGCCTCCTGATGTTGGTACAGCAGTGTGGGAGCATTCACAGCCCCTCGCCAGATGGGCAGAGGTGTCAAAAGGGGAGTGGTACAGGGTTGCTTCCATCTATTCAGCAGATGGTTGGTTGGCAGGAGGGGAGGAGTGATGTGGGCCCGGTGTGGCAGTGGGCTTGAGCACTGGGGGTATTCTAGCCACAGTGGCATGACGGGGGCTGGCAGGAAGAGGGGATAGTGTATGAGGCTAGGTGGGGGTAGAAAGAAAATAAAAGAGAGAGAAAGAAAAAAAAAAAGGGTAGCTGGTGGGTGGGGGCAGGGGGAACCTGGGGGCCAGTGGGAAGGAGGGTCAGGTGGCATATAGGGCAGAAAGGTGAGGAGTGGGAAAGCGTGTTTCTCTGGTTACCAGGTGCTCTGTCTCCTATTGGGATGTCTGTGAAGTTGCCTTCTTGTATTTCCTGTCTGGGGTCATTGCTGGCTCTGTTCCAAGATGACAACACTGTACTGTGTTAGTTGGCAGGGGACCGCCACTCCATCTCTCTCCTTGTTCTCTGTTTTCTGTCAGTTTCTTCTTCCATTCAATGTTTGATCTAATTCTTTATCTCTTCATTAGATGCTTAGGGTTCCAGGACTGATGACTGTATCTGTTTTACTTAGTTTTTCAGGTCTTTGCTGCAGTGCAATGGCATGGTGTGTCTGTCTAGGGTGCCAGGTTGGCTCTCCTCCCCCAATCCCTTTTGTGTTTGCTCCTTTTCTCCTCTGTACAGAAGGAAAGTTGCCTGCAGAAGGGATCTTTTCACTTGTTCCCTACACATTTATGGAGCACCTGGGCTTGGCAGTGCTAGTTACTGGGACACAGCATGAATGAGACACAGTTCTGCCCTCAAGGTCTCACTGACAGTGTGGCGGGTGTGGGACATTCCAGGGCCAAGGTTTTATCTCAGCATTGGGGAGTGGGACACACCAGCATCCCCCATTCCCTGGAGTATGCAGAGATGAGGGGACTCCTTTCCTCCCTTCCACTTCACCACACTGACCTCTGCAAACTCATACAGAAATTATCTTAGAGCCTGTCATTGAGCGGATACATCACACAGACCACAGACTGTCCAGAAAACCCCAAACAGCCAGTGCTGTCTGGCCAGACAGACATAAAACCATCAGCCCTCAAGATAACTAAAAATCTGTTTAAGACACCCCAGGCATCTATGCAAATTGCCAATTACTGACCTGTCCTTAGTTTTAGAAATCTTCATGGGTCCCTCCCCTGTCTCAAATGGAAAAATATAGAGGAAATACTAAACGCCACAGTCAGCACCTCCCACCATCCCGGGTTGCCTGGCTGTCCTTGGTCTCCCTGCTCAGCCACACTGCTCTTCCTTCGTCTCTCTGCTCTATATGCTTGCTCCTGCTGTGGAGCCTCTTGCATGCTTTTCTTTCCTTCGGATTTCAGATCATTGGTCACTTTTCCTGACCTCACACACTAGGTCCAATCCTCCTGTCATGTTACCCTCTGTCTTTTCTTCTAATAGCTTCTGTCACAGTTGTGATTTAGCATTTGATTGCATCACCATTCCATTAACGTCTGTCTCTAGACTGTAGGCTCCAGGAGATCAATGTGTTTATTTTGGCTTATGAGACCCAGAGCCTAGCACAATGCCTGGTACAGAGTAGAAGTGCAACAAGCATTTACTGAATGAATGAATGAACACGTAAATGAGGCTAATCCTGGTCCAATAACCTCATCCTTACTCCCCTCAAAACATGTCTCCCAAACCACATCTTTGCGGAACTGTCTGATGCAGCCTCCAGAGTGAATCTGAGATTTTTTGGTGTCAGAACATCTCAAAGTTGCTGCTTATGTTCTATTTTATCTAAACTCAAACCTCAAGGTAGGGAGCAGTTAGACTAATTTTAGAATCTAAGTAAGACCTTTAAAGGTTGCAATTTTGCTTGAAAATAGCCTGTTGGTTTTTTAGGATTCTTTGATCTTTACTGGATGTGTGACTTTGGACAAGTTAATTGACATCTGTAAAACTGGGATATCAGAACCCAGTTCACAGGACCTTTGAAAGGAATATTCAGATAATGTATTTTCAATCCTTCCCCATAATTGTGATGTTAGCTGTAGTTTTTTAAAAAAATATTTTATTGTGATTTTGGAGAAAATTTACATAGCAAATTAGGTTCTAAATTAACAATTTCTATACACAGTATTCAGTGACATTGGTTACACTTTTCACAATGTGTAAGCATTCTCATTATTTCCATTCTGGTTGTTCTGTTTCCATTAACCTACCTTCCTTGTCCCCTCTTACCCTCTCATCTTTGGTCTAGGGTAGGTGTTGACTGTTAGGTCTCATTTAGATAATTGTTTAGAGAAGCACAGTACTCACAGGTTATATTTTTTATTTTATGAGCCATTTTTTATTTTATGATATGTGACCTCTGGGGGTGGTTTGAGTATGTTTAAAGGGTATCCCAGGGTGATGGTTCCTCTAGTCTCTACCAGTCCAGTAAGTCTGGCCTTTTTTTTTAGGAATTTGGGTTTTGTTCTACATTTTTTACCCATTCTATCCGGGACCATCTATTATGTCTCTGGTCGGAACAGTCGGTAGTGGTAGCCAGACACACCGTTTAGTTTTTCTGGTCTCAAAGTAGGTGGCTATGGTTTGTGTAGACTATTAGTCCTGTAGACTAGTTTCTTCTTTGAGTCTTTGCGTTCCTTCTTTCTTTTGCTTCAGACACATAGAGACCAATAGTTGTATCTTAGATGGCTGCTTGAAAGCTTTTAAGACCCCAGATGCTACTCACCAAACTAGGATGTAGAACATTAACTTTATGAGCTATGTTATGCCAATTGACCAAGTTGCCTCCCAGAGCTATGGTCCTAAGCCCTCAAACCCGGTAACCCAATCCCACAAGGTGTTTGGTTATGTCTAGGAAGTATTCATAACCGTGCCCCCTATGTGCTTTATTTTATATATATGAATATATATGCAGCACTTCCAAACATGTATATACGTTTCTACATTTGCCTACAGAAACAACTATATATGCATGCCCATATATTCATGTGTGCTTACCTACACATATATAAGCATACATATCTACCTATGTAACCACACACATATTTTTTTATTGTTATTACTGTTGTTGCAAAAGTGTATATGTTGTGGATTTTACCAAAATTGTCCCTTATTCTTATGTACTTCTTAGTGTCATTTTTTAGCTCGGTTAGGTTGTGATGACTTCACTCTTACTCATTATTACCTTAACCAAATCACCAAAACTAACAAGTGTCTATTATCTAGAAAGTGATTCACCCTTCTTCTCCCTCCCATCCCTGGTAATCACCAAAGAATGTTGCTTTCTGTATGTATACCTATTCTTGTCTTTTTACAATAGTGAGATCATACAGTATTTGCTCTTTTGTGATTGATTGATTTATTTCACTAAGCCTAATGACCTCCAAGTTAATCCACGTTATAGTCTTTTTTGGGACTTCATCATTATTCTTTATGGTAGTTGTAGGCTTTTTATAGTTGTCCCTCAACAGGTTGAGGAAGTTCCCTTCTAGTCCTAGTTCCCTGAAAATTCTTGTCATGAATGGATGTTGAACTTTGTCAAATGCTTTTTCTGCATAAGCATGTGACATGGTGCATAATAAGCACTCAATGAAATTAATTCTCTTCCTCTCTAACTACTTTCCCTTCCTCTGCCTCCTACCTGTCACTTCCTCATTAGTAGGTTGGCCAGCATTGAGTAACATGGGAACAATCTCTCTTTTGGCTGGGGGCAGCTCCAGAACCTGCACCCTTGAACTTTGCTGAGATTTGTATTATGGTTGAAAATTTGAAAGGCTTAAAGTCTCAGACAGGTCTGACCAAATATTTGAACTGCCGACCTTTTGGTTAGCAGCTGAGCTCTTAACCACTGTGCCACCAAGGCTCTGACCCAAATATATAGCTACCTTGAAAAGTAAATTTTCAGCATTAACCTGTTCTCCTTCTATCTTCATCTGAAGCCTCCCCTTTCCCAGCCACCTAGAGGCACTATGTTCACCTGAGCCTGCCATCCTAGCAGTGCATGGTTTCTGGGTCATTGCCTCCTTGCACCTCTCCATTGAGTTTTAAGGTTAAACAAAAATAAAGTAAGAATCAAAGCGCTGATGGCCTATAGTGGATAAATGTCTTCACATTCCTGTATAAAATTTGTTTTTAGCAAAATAAATGATGACATTATGTTTTAATAAAGTACGGTACCTCTAAACGGTGAAATATCATATACCCCCCAAAAAGGAATTATATATCTATATTTATTAACATGGAAAATGTCCATGACCCACTGTTGAGTGAAAAGCAGGTAACAAGCATATATGGTTTGATCATATTTATACGTGTGTGTGTGTGTGTGTACACTGTTGTGTGCCCACTGAGTTGATTCTGACTCATAGTGACCCTATACGACAGAGTAGAACGTCCTCATAGGGTTTCCTAGGTTGTGATATACCCGTTGTCGTCGAGTCTATGCCAACTCATAGAGACCCTAAAGGACAGAGTAGAACTGCCGTATAGGGTTTCCAAGGAGGGACTGGTGGGTTTGAATTGCCAACCTTTTGGTGAGCAATCAAACTGTTAACCACTGCACCACCAGGGCTCCATACTTTAGATACTTTAGATAGTAGAGCATAATCCCAATAATTGTCCTTTGCACACACTCCTATTTGAATATTTAACATGCCATTGTGTTTTCTCTTGATGATGTCTGTCTACCCAACTAGATTTTAAACATCCCTGAAGGCAGAATCATCAGATTCTCAAAACCTGTAAACATATTAGCCTTACAAATCTAATAAATGAAAAAATAAAATACACCCAGTAAAAAGCCATGCAATATTTACAGCCCTCAAGCTATTACGAGCTTATCCAAAAACTAATTTTTCTATTGATTGCACATACTCAGAACTGAGTTATTTTTCACGCTAGGCGAAGCTTTGTCTTTCATTTTCATTTCTGAAGTTTGTATTTTCATCATCACTAGTAATGTCCTTCTGAATCATGTCCTGAATGTTTTCTGCAATACGTTTTTGTACGCTTTTAATCAAAGTGTCATATGCACCTTTCTTCCCATGAAATTGATACCAGTTACGGAGTAGTTGGACTTTTTGTTCAGCTGTATCTTGGGGATGGTTGTTTTTAATTTCATCTACTTTTGCTTCATTGATACCATTCCTTCGAACAAATTCTTTAACTTGGTTTATCGTCATTTGTTCAGCAATATAAGTGATATATTTACTCAAGTCAACATCTGAAAAATAGAAAACAGTCTCAGAAAATTTGTTTTTTCTAAAAGAAATTCCTATTACTACAGACCATCTTTATTTCTCCCCTTATAGTACTTAAGAATACAACTAAGTTCTAGAGATCTCAAGAGCTGACTGAGGGAAAAAAACAAAAACAAAAGCAACCCTGAGTTCTAATCCCAACTCCTGCTATGTCTCCAGTAATTTGCTGTATGACCTGAAAAAGATATACACCATCTTTTTATCTTCTTTTCTCATCTGTAAAATGATAGGGCTGGAAAAGATTGTTCCTAAGTTCCTTTATGAATCTGAGGATCAAAGACTCACAAATCTAAAAGTACGGGCAAAGGGCTTATGATCATCTTATCTGTGAATTGCAAGTCAAAAAACAGAACTGAATATGATCACGTATGTTGTTATAGAGCTTGGCTGCATCAATCATAATTGAGTCTACAATTCAGATTAACCTCTAAATCAGTTTAGGCAGGAGTTCTATTATGTACCTAAATTGTTGTGAAGAAAAATTCTCTTAAGCCTTAGAATATAGTGTCCCATTGCTACCTGATCTTTTCAAAAAAAATGTTTTACTGTGTTTTCAGTGAAGGTTTACACAGCACATTAGGTTCCCATTTGACAATTTCTGCACAAGTTGCTCAGTGACATTAGTTACATTTTTCACAATGTGTCAACATTCTCTTTAATTACATTATGGTTATTCCGTTTCCAGTGCTCTAGTTTCCCTGCCCCCTTATCTTCTCATATTTGCTTTAGAGTAATCGTTGACCTTTTGGTCTCATATAGATTATTTTTTAATAAAGCATTGTACTTTACAGGTAATATCCTTTATTTTGTGTGCCAATCTGTTATTTTACTAAAAGGTGACCTCAGGGAATAGTTTCGGTTCAAGGTTTAAAGAATATCTCAGGGCAATAGTCTCAGGGAGCCCGCCAGTCTCAACTGGTCTAAGTCTGGACTTTTTAAGAATTTGAGTTCTGTTCAGCGTTTTCTCTCCCATTCTATCTGGGTCCATCTATTGTGGCCTTGATCAGAATGGTTGGTAGTGGTAGCTGGGCACCATTTAGTTCTTCTGGTCTCAAAGTAGATGAGGCTGTGGCTTGTGTAAGTTATTAACCCTGTAGACTAATTTCTCTGAGACTTTGGTTTCCTTCTTTCTCTTTTGCTCTTAACAAGTAGAGACCAATAGTTGTATCTTAGATGGCTGCTTTAAGACCCTAGATGCTACTCAACTCACTAGGATGCAGAACATAAACTTTGTAGTGCCAATTGACTGAGTTGTCCCATAAGACTAAGGACTTCAGCCTTTAAACCTAGAAAAACCATTCTCGCAAGGTGTTTGGTTATGTCTGAGAAGTAACTGTGTCCTCTGTGAATATATATGTGTGCACACATATCTGTATGTATGCGTACATATAGCTATTTCTATCTGTGCGTACGTATGTATTCCCCCGTACCTATCTGGACACATATATGCTTATGCACCTACATCTGTGTCCATACACTCATTTCTGGTTATTGCTGGTATTGTTGCCAAATTATATATGTCATATTCTTTAGCACAAACATCCTTTTCTCTTGCGCACTTCTTAGTGGCATTTTACTTTGGTCAGGCTGTGCTCATTACACCCACATTCTGTGCTACTTTTCCCATCACCAAAAATAACAAGTATCTACAATCTAGAGAGTGGCTACCTGATTTATTGTAACTATGAATGATAGTTATAATTTAAAGAAATTCTCTGATAAACTCTCGATGATAAGTAGTAAGAACTGTAAGTTCAAGAAGTAGCAAGACTCCATAATATGTCACTGAAATGAGTAACATTATTTTACTTTAAAATTGGCCTATCACTCCTAAGGAAGCCATCGGTATGAAAATAAAATATGAAAAGCCTCACCTCTGCAAATCATTGGCTTCATTTCCTAGGGAGAGAAAAGGAAGGCAAGGAGAGAGATAAATAAAAATATATTTAGAACAGTCTAAAGATAATCTCCTAATTCTTCCTTATTTCAGAAGGAAGTAGAATCAGTTGCTTGGTGTATAAAATTAGGAAACTAGACTAAATGATTAACAGGGGGTCTTTTACCATTGAAATTCTAATTCTGAAAGGCTCCAGCCTTGCCAGAAACTAAGCAACGCTGGCTTACGTTTTACAAAGGCAAGGAACGTAAGAAATTCTTGAGAATAAGTCTCAAGATTATTTTTCACAGACACATGAAAATAAGCATAATAAACATAATCATTCTGAAAGTTACTTCACTGTAATTATCCTTATTTTTGACACCAGAAAATGGCTCAAATTGAAATTTTTATACCATATCGATTTAAAGAACATTAACTCCCACTGAGCCTGTCCCCAAATGCAAAAATCATTATTCAATTAAGTGGAACTTAATTCCCAGTGTATCTTTTTGCTTTTCGAAAACTTGATCCCATGTTGGAAAAAGTTGTGGCAAGAGATTAGGTCAACAGGTGGAGAGAGTTGAGCTGTGCTTTTATAATGAGCTTTAAGAACTATCTCCCGATACAGGCTTAGATATGGAATCCTAATACTGTCCAGGCCCTGCAAAGGGGTGACTCTGCAGGAGTCACACCAACAGGGAACACAGATGTTCGCAATGTCCTTTTTTAAACTCACACTGAGCATATTCTCACTTACCCCTTTTGTTGATTCTTATGTTATTTGTGTAGAAACTTACTAATAAATTAAGCACCATATCTTAATTCATTTTTGTTGCCCTTCTAACCTTTGTACACAAGTAGGTATACAATAAATGTTTGCTTAAAAAAATAGATAAAATCTGAATTACTACTGTTTTCTTTTTAAAGAAAGCTGATGCATGTTTCAACACTTACTGTAGGTTTAAAATACCCAGTGGTTTCTCTGTTGTGCTTTCTATATATCCACAACCCTGAAAGTTCAAAGAAATTTCTGTCAGACTCAAGTTATCAGCCTGGTAGGAAGCATATAAGAATACACTCTGACACTAAGAGAAATGTGAAAAGGAAGAAGGAGAAATTCATCGATGAAACTCAAAGTGGCCAAGCTCCACACAAGGCAGCACTGTCCTGATTTTGGAAATCCCATCCCGTGGGATCAAGAGTTCTAGCCAAAAAACAAACAAAAATAGTTGGAATCAAGTTGATTCGGACTCATGGTGATGCCATGTGTGTCAAGGTAGAACTGTATTCCATGGATTTTCAGTGGCTGATTTTTTGGAAGTAGACTGCCTGACCTTTCTTCTGAGGTGCTGAGGTGGCTCTGGGTGGACTTGAACCTCCCACCTTTTGGTTAGCAGTTGAACATGTTAACCATTTATACCACCCAGGTACTCCCAAGTGTTCCAGAGATACATCATATCTTAATTAGTTTTCCAATTACCACACACTGACTTAGCCTGAGTCTAGCTTTTGAGTTATCTCACGACTCTCACCATCCAACCCCCACCCTTACCAATGGAGTTGCATGGCATGGCTACGGCAGGGCACAGAAGCTTTAGGATATGGAAAGTTGACATCATCTTGTTGGGAAATGACATTTAATGTCCAGAAATTCAAGTACACACACTTAGAAAAAACTCAGGTATACATGCTCAGTGAGTGTATGTCTTGGAGCCAGTGCAAGATAGAAGACATGAACCTGTAAGTTTCTGAATACAATTATAGTTTAAACATTGAGCATGGATGTTTAGCTAAACAATCTCTAAACACAAGGGAACTTCTTTATGTTCAGCTAAACTGAAGAAACATTGACTTGTTCCAACAGAGATGGAAAACCTGGTTTCTTCAGAGTTACTGAGAGTTGGCCCTGCCCTTTGTTTTATGGGTGATTTAAAGAAATTTTGTAGAGTAATTATGATTATACCCAATTTTGGTCTACCTACTGACTTTACTAAGTAACCCTTACATACAATGTGTCACCACAGTATTTTAAGGTAAGGAGGATTAAGAATAAAAAGCACTGAATTTGGTCAAGGGAGAGGAGGCAGATAGAGGAACAGGTACATCAAAGTGTCCCTGCAATGCCTGCCCATGGAAGGCCCCTTGCTTCGTGTGTTCTCTTTATGCACAGGACAATCTCTGATTCTTGGCCAACTCTGCAGTTGCCTAGATGAAAACATCTTTGTTCACAGGGAAGATGGGAATACCAGTCATTGCTTCCAAACAGTTGCTCAGAAAGAATAGCTGAGGGATATTATCATCCATTCTTATCAGTTCTCAGGGGGGTGTTTGGTGACAGGAAATTAAAAATACAACAGAGCTACCTACCTGGTAGACTAACAAGTTGCCATCAAATAGATTCCAATTCATGGTGACCCTATGTGTGTCATAGTAGAACTGTGCTCCAAAGGATTTTCTTTCTTTCTTTTTCTTTTTTGAACCAATTTCTACATGTATAACTCAGTGACACTGATTATTTTCTTCATGTAGTACAACCATTATCACTATCCTTTTCCAAATTATCCCACCACCATTAATATAAACTCAATGCCCTCAAAATCTCTTCCTCTTCCTCCCAGCTAATAATAATCTTTCATTTCTGTACACTTGCTTATTTCATGTAAGTGAGATCATTCAATATTTGTCCTTTTGTGACTGACTTATTTCTCCCTAGGGTTTTCGAAGGCTAATTTTTTGGAAGTAGATTGCCAGGTCTTTCTTCCAAGGTCTGGGTGGACTCCAACTTCCAACCTTTTGGTTAGCAGTCCAGTGCATTAAACGTTTGCACTACCCAGGGACTCCATACCTACCTAATAGGAGCTTTGTTATAGGTAGGAGACAGAGAAATTCTTTTGAACAGCTACTTCCCATATTATTTCAAGGTACAGTTTGAACAAAGTAAGAACTTACCACAAATTATTGCAGCTACTGGGAGCAGCAGGAGACATAGTAACCACAGTAAGTTAGATTTAGAGTCTATGGATTAAAACATTGGACATTTCATATGAAAATAAGCAATCTTTAAGCAAAATACTCTCAGAAATAGTATCAAAAGGGATTGGCTTTTCTTTATATTTTACCTTGGGGATGGGAGAAAGGGGAATATAACTATAAAAAAAATAACCTTTTTCTTTGCATTTAGTGTTACTGGTTTGTGTGCATTTCTCAATGATTCCATGTTCACACCTAGAAAAAAATACAGAGGAAATACTAATTTCCTTGATTCCTTGATCATTTCAGTTGTGCCATTTTATTCATCTTTGTATCTCTGCCAAATCTCTTCCCTCAAATAGTCCTAGATTATCATCCAAAGCTGGTAAAAGTTAATAATATAATTTAGATATGTGGATCACAAATGTCTTCAGGCATCATAACCGACCCAAATCAATTTTTAAAAAGTAGCATAAAACAATAAAATGGCCAAACGATAGCCACTGTACATGATGCTGCTTAGGGAGGCTACCCAGCTGGCCTTCAGAGGTTGTCAGTTTTAACATCAAGTGGTGATTGGGAGACTCAAGAGGCTCATGTGGGATTGTCTTCAGACAGCCAAACACTGACAGTCAGAATGTCTGAGTTCACAGCCTGGCTTTGCCCCTTACCTAACTACCTGACCTTGGGCAAGTCACTTAACCTCTGTGAGCCTGTGTGCTCATAAATAAGAAGGAGATAATAATACTACTTACCTCAAATGGTTGTGGTGAGAAAAAATTAAAGATTATAAAGTAGTTAGAACAACTATTATTGTTATTGTTTTATTAAATTACCCCTGCACTTGCCCCACACCCTCCAATCCACATCTGTCCTTCCACCATGAGGCCCTCTCAGACATTCGGGGCTGGAAGGAAGAGACTAGGGTAGCTGCATATAACTTAACATTTTTCTAGCAAGAAGAGACATAAAGTATAATGTCTCTACTCTTTAAGCCTACTAGATGAACTCTTAGAAGTTTCTCAAAATGAATTTCAAGTTTTAAGAGAAGCAAATGAATAGTAATCCTAAACCTTTATATTCATACAAAATAATATCTTACAAAGCAAAAGCCACTTTCACAACACATATCACCCAATTTGATTTTCACAGAAATGTGGCAGATGGGACAAGTAATCTTATCTGTCCTATGAGTGAGTAAACTGAAGTTTGAGAGGTTAAGTGATCTGCCCAAACTCACCCACTTACTCAGCAGAAAAGTGAGCTGCACAATCAGGTTTTCTAACTTTGGATCAAAACCAGGCTCTTTAGGATGAAGTCCAAAGCCCTTTATGATCTGGTCTTGGCTCCTTCTCCAGTCTTCCTCCGTCTCTTTGCAGCTGCTGTTCCCTTGCCTGAAATGGGCTTTCCGTCTGTGTACACCTGCTAGTGCTCTTTTTTTCAAGACTCAAGCCATATGTCGTAGCTTCGCCCCCATTTCCCCAGACAGAGTTGAAAGGCTTTCCTGTATAATAAATAACGCTCTGGCACATGTCTCTTCTGATGCTTGCCACATGATGTTGACACATAATAACCATTGCTTTTCTTGACTCCCTTTACCTCTAGACTGAGACTCTTGGTGCCAGTAACGTGCCAATAAATAAATAATGTCGTGTGTTGATGTTTGAATAAACCAATGGTCATCTGTTTGCTTGGAGGCAAAGCAAGACTACAACCCAAATTCCTGACTCCCGGCCAGTGTTTCCTCTCTCTAGGGAGACATTATCTCTCAAGGTCTATCTAGTGTTTTAATCAGAGAAAGAGTAAAACTTACGTGATGCAAGGTGCACAGTGGTCACATGAAGAACTGCTACAAAAAAAGTCTTCTTTACATCTGCACTTGGTATTCTGGGTTCGGGTACAGTGTTTTTCCACTTCTAAGCCTGGAAAACCAGTTTGCAAACTATTAATTACAGAAGCTAGTTTTAAATGGACTATGAAAATGATGACCAGAGCTGAATGGATTTCGGATATCCACAGCTCATGTCAACAGTCATGCCCATCACACTTTTAGTAACACAACTAGTATTTAAATGCAATACAGGCAACCCTAAGTTGAAATGACCAGCAGTCATCTCAGAGTCTAAATGGACAGACAATCCAGCAACCAAGGCCAGCAATCATCTCACAGGGTTTTAAGTGGACAGACAATTCCACCTTTTGCCTAGATGGCTCCCCTGTTCCTCTAGTCTAGAGGCTGGCTGCCCAAACTGTGGTCCATGCACCAACAGTATTGACATCACCTAGGAGCTTGCTAGGAATGCAAAATGGCAGGTTCTGCCCTAGACCTGTTGAATCAGACCAGTGCCAAAGCCCTCACTTAGAGATTTTGATTTGTTTACAGTCAGGGTTGAAAAACATTGATTTAGAGCCTGATTAGGAACAAGAGACTTTTTTGTCCAGAGGCTTTTTCTCTGTCCATGTATCTTCAGGCTTCCACAATCTTTCTGGCCAAGAACAAGAGCCATCACACAAGCATCAGTCAAGAGAGAGAACAAATCATTTCTGCTGTTTTGACTGGACCCTATTCACAGGGTCCATATTCAGTCATTCTCCTATCTCTATGAAAATTGCTTAGATTTGTCCCATATAAATGGTTCTACATGGAGTATCATGACTGGTCTCTTTCGATTGCTTTTTAAGATACTTACCATGTCCTTCATCACAAAATCTACATCTGCGGCAGTAATCTAAATAATTTTCCATTTCTGTGTACTCTTGCCCTTCTTTGCAGTGTGTACAATTTGGGTTTCCTTCATTGACGCTGCAGTCAGCAGTTTTCCGTGTGCCTGTCCAAGAAAAGGAGGGCAAGTGTTTGAATGTGAGGTGCTCATGCAGGGATGACCATAAAACCTGCCAAAACAGAGGGAGTTAGGCTGTTGTTGTTGGGTTCTTTTGAGCTGATTCTGACTCATAGCGACTCCATATGACAGAGTAGAACTGCCCCTTAGGGTTCCCTAAGCTGTAATCTTTCCAGAAGCAGATCTCCAGGTCTTTCTCCTGGAGGTCTTTCTCTCGTTTGAACCACCAACCTTTCAGTTAGTAGCTGAGTGCTTAACTGTTGTGCCACCAAGGTTCTTTGGGAGTTAGGCTAGTGATATATAATTACAAGGGAAGAGAACTTGATTATTGTATAAATCATGTCAAGAGACAAAAAATCTCCCAAGACAAAGTTAAGAGTGACTGAAGGAATCTGCCTGCCGAAATAGAATGCATAACAATAATCTGTTTCTGTCAAGTCAATTCCAACTCATAGCGACCCCATGTGTTACAGAGTAGAACTCTTCCAGAGGGTTTTCTTGTCTGTAATCTTTATGGAAGGATCCCTGGTGGTGCAGGGGTTAAAGTGCTTGGCTGCTAGCTGAAAGTTCAGCAGTTCGAACCCACCAGCTGCTCCAAAGGAGAAAGATGTGGCAGTCTGCTTCCATAAAGATTACAGCCTTGGAAAACCTATGGGGCAGTTCTACTCTGTCCATGGTCTCTGGCCATGGGTTTCGTTTGTTTTTTGGTTAATCCTTATGGAAGCAGGTTGCCAAGTCTTTCTTCCTCAGCAGAGCATGAAGAAGAAAAGTACAGAAAATATAAAGGGAAATCTAAGAGAAAAGCACTAAAAGTGACTCTAATTATTAGTGGCATAACTAATTTAAAAAAAAAAAAAAGGCAAAATCTAATCAGTTGCACTCCCATCTGGGTGAGTTTGAACCGTCAACCTTTCACTTAGTAGTAGAGTACAAACCATTTGTGCCACCCAGGAAACTTGATTAACAATGTTGTTCTTGTTAGTTGCCTAGAATCGATTCCAACTCATGGCAACCTGCTGACCAACATGTTGTTGTTGGGTGCCATCGAGTCGATTCCAACTCATAGCAACCCATGTGACAAAATAGAACTGGCCCATAGGGTTTTCTTGGCTGTAATCTTTATGGAAGCAGATTGCCAGGTCTTTCTCCCATGGAGCTCCTGGGTGGGTTCAAACCACTAACCTTTTGGTTAAAAGCCTAGCACTTAACTGTTGGACCACAAGGATTAACAATGGGAGCATATAAAAAAAGGAGCGTTAGAATGGCCAAGTGACCAGGGCAATGCTTTGACTGATTAACTTTTTGAGAGGTTAGGGTGCAGTGTTTGATATGTACGTACTCATGGCGGTGATGGCTGCCACTGTCCACTGAGATGACCTAACTAATTCACCTTGCTTTGATTTCTCATTTTACTTTCCAAAGTCTGCAAATATTGATAAGAAATAGTGTACTGTAAGGTAAAGAGCATGTTTTAAAGACTTTGATCAATTCCTTAGTAGCTGTAAGATCTCTAACAAAGTGCTTAACCTCTCTAAGTCTAATTTTCTTCATCCCCATGATGGGGATAATAATACTTGTTTTACATTGCTGTCAGAACTGCACAGGGCCTGTCCCCTAGTAAGCAATCACAGTTACCCTTCATTTCCCCCTTCCTTCTATTCCTTTTCCATCAAGGGGCACAGTAAGTTTTGATAGGCAAACCTGAACATATTTATCTAATATAATGCAAAATTTATAAAATATAGCTAGTGGAGCCAGTATGGCACCCTAGACAGACACATCATGCTGTCCCTCTGCAGCGAAGACCTGAAAAACTAAGTAAAACAGATACAAACATCAACCCTGGAACCCTAAGTATCAAATGAAGGGATAAAGAACTAGATCCAACACCAAATGGAAGAAGAAACTGAACAAAAACAGAGAATGAGGAGAGATATGGAGTGGAGGTCAACAGCCAACTACATGGCACAGCTTCACCATCTTGGAGCACAGCCAGAAATGACCTCAGACACAGAGTATGGGAGAGCAACTCTATGGAGCTCCCAACAAGAGCTAGGGCACCCACCCTGTACGCCACACCCCCCTTCCTATTGGCCCTTGCAGTGCCACCACAGCTAGAGCATCCTTGGATTAGGCCCGCCACTGCACTGGACTCACACTGCCCCTCCCCTCCTGCCACTCAACCATTTCCCATCTGACACCCCTGCCTCTCTGGTGAGGGGATGTGAATGCTTCCACACCGCTGGACCAACACCAGGAGGCAGACAGTGCCAGTGCAGTCTGCCCTCAGCCACCTTGACAAACTAGTGTACAGTGAATTGGGCTTGCCCTGCCTGCTGCTGCCCTGCCCACCTAAACAAGGTGGTGAGAGCTATTGTGCCCACAGATGAGCAAGTAGAACGCACACCCAGCCTGCCAACCCTGACAAACCAAAACAAAACAAAGAAGCAGGACGAATCAAACATACAATCCATAAATACAGAAAAAAGTACCTTAATGTCTTGAAGACAGCAGACAATATCAAAGCATATAAAAAAGCAGGACAAAATGGCTCCAGCAAGTGACCAAAATAAAGAAACAGATGACCTTCCAGTAAAAGAAAAGGCAGTGGAACTACCTGATACAGAATTCAAAAGACTAATATTTAGGGCTGTCCAAGAGATTAGGAAAGAGATCAAGGAGAACATAGACAAAACCAAGGAAAAAAATAGACAAAATTATGGAAAACAAAGATAAAGCCATCGAAAACATAGCCAAAATCAAGAATAACACAGACAAAACAACAGAATTCAGAAAAATATACAAGAACAAAATGTCAAAATAAATAATTAGAAATCATACAAAAATAGAAACCAGAAATCCAAAAGATAAACACCAAAATTTAAGAAATGAACAACTCAACAGAAGGTTTTAGGAGCAAATTTGAAACAATGGAAGACAGAATCAGGGAGATTGAAGACAAAACCATGAACACCACTTTGAGGAAACATCAAAGAAAAGAATGAAGAAAAACCTAACAATTACGTGGGACACAGTCAAGAGCAAAAATTTGCACATGATCGGAGTTCCAGAATAGAGGGAAAAAATGGAAAACAGAGAAGATTGTTAAAGATTTGCTGGCAAAAACTTCCCAAGTATCATGAAAGAAGAAAAGCTGACCATCCAAGAAATTCAACGAACCCCATACAGGATAGACTCCAAAAGAAAGTCACCAAGACATATCATAATCACACTTGCCAAAACCAATGAAAGAGTCCTGATATCAGTTTGAGAAAAACGAAAAGTCACTTACAAAGGGGAAACAATAAGTCTAAGCTCTGCTTACTTGGCAGAAACTATAAAGGAAGAAGGCAATGGGATGATATATATAAAACCTTTAAAGAAAAAAACTGCCAACCAAGAATAATGTATACTGCAAAACTCTCAAATATGATGGTGAAATTAGGACATTTCCAGATAAACAGAAATTAAGGGAATTCATAAAAATCAAATCAAATTTACAAGAAATATTAAAGGAAGTCCTTTGGTTAGAGACCAACAACATCAAACAACTGGAGTCTAGGACACATGACAGCATCAGCCAGATACCAACCTAGGTAAAGAACTCTCAATAATAAAACAAAGCTAAAAGACTTAAAACAGGGAGACAGAGATATCAATCTGTAAATGAAGACAATGTCAAAACAATAAAAGGGGGAATAAATGGTGTAGGTATAGAACTTTCAAATGGAAAGGAAGTCAAAGTAATACCAAGTTAATAAAAGACTGGTTCAAATTTAGGAAGATATGTGTAAATTTCAAGGTAACCACAAAACCTACTCATAAGAAGAAAAACATAAAGTCTAAGTAAACACAAATCTATAAAAATGAAAAAAGAAAGAAAAAAAAATCCAGAAACAAAAGAGACTCAGCACAGGAGAGTAAGGGGAACAAAAAAACATCAGCACCGCACACACAAACATAAAATGATACAACAATATGACAGTAATAAACTCATACCTATCTGTCTTAGGCTGGGTTCTCTAGAGAAGCAAAACTAGTAAAGCATATAAATATATATAGAGAGAGATGTATATCAAGGAAATGGCTCACGCAGTTGTAGAGGCTGGAATGTCCCAAGTCCGTGGGTCAGGACAGAGGCTTCTCCTGATTCACAAAGCCGCAGGGGCTGGTGAACCCAAGATTGGCAGGTCACAGAGCAGGTTTCTTGCTCACAAGCTGTAAAGATCGATAAACCCCAAGACAGGCAGGCAAGACCACAGGTAAGCTGCTTGCTCAAGTCCCAAGAATCGGAGGTCAGACGAACAGGAGCCAGCTGCAGGATCCAGCATGAGCAAAAAGCCCCCGAGCCTTTCCAGAATGTCCACTTGTATTCAATGCAGGCCACACACCCAAGCAAACTCCCTTTCAACTGACTGGCTACTCACAGCAGATCCCATCATGGGAGTGATCACATATCAGATCTCAACATGGAAGTGATCACAACATTACACAACTACCAAAACACTGAGAATCATGGCCCAGCCAAGTTGACTCACAATCTTAACCATCATACTATCGATAATCACACTGAATGTAAATGGCTTAAATGTGCCTGTAAAGAGATATCGAAAAAATACAAAGCATCTACTCTGATCACAGTGCCATAAAAGTAGAAATCAATAACAGGAAGACCAAGGAAAAAAAATCAAATACAAGGAAACTGAATAACACCTTACTTAAAAAACAACTGAGTAATAGAAGAAATCAAAGAAGGAATCAAAAAATTCTTAGAATCAAATGAGAATGAAATCACATCATACCAAAACCACTGAGACACACAGCAAAGGCAGTGCTCAGAGGTCAATTTATAGCAATAAACACACACATTAAAAAAGAAGAATGGGCCAAAATCCAAACATTATCCCCATAACTTGAACAAATAGAAAGGGAAAAGCAAAAGAAGTCCACAGCCATCAGAAGAAAGGAAATAATAAAGCTTAGAGCAG